TGTTCAATTAAGTTTTATTCTTCTTGCTTTCATTCTTGCTCAATCGTCAGCAATGATTTTTAAATCGATGTTCGCCAGAATATCCTTTTCGATTGAGCAGAGCATTAGGCTGATGAATTTCCATTATCTGTTGATCGCAGGTAATTTTTAACGAGTTTCATTTTTGAGAACGATCGTGCATTTGTGGCAACGGTTATCGGTAGCGTCAATAGAAAATTATAGACGAGAGACGCACGTGGATAAGCATGTCCAACGCCTTTCAACTTGTTGACGATTTCGTTCATGTTCGAGCATTCTTCGATGCTGCTACGTAACAGCTCAAAATCAGTAAGTAATAATTCTGGGCTGAACAGTTTTTGTGTATCTGAAGATGATTCTAATGTGAGTTAAACTCTGTTAGAGCTTCCAATTTCAAGCACTCGGAGATGTAGTTTCATACTTTCTGATTTTTTAGTTTACATATCAGTCGTTCACAAGTTTGCTGACTGCATTAGTTACTTCAATACGTATACCTTACGGGATATTACAGAGCGTGGTAAGCACAGATTCGAATTTTTTGTCACAACTGTTTCCAAGTCGACTTTCTCCATCGATCGAAGTCGAAATGGACTGAAAGTTTACTTGAATGTATGAACGCTCATCCTAGGATAACATTCTTTGAGTGATGAAGATTTTTTGAGCCATATCGATATAGACCAAAAGAAAATTTTAGAAAGAGGCTAAAAATTAATTTCGGACGAAGTCGGCTTAGCTCTTATCTCTATTCGAAGTTGACACAAACTGGAGCCTGGTGTATGTCGACTTCATCCAGAAGGTCAAGTCGACATAGCGTAGATGCTGTTTGAGCTGTATAATGCTCAAAAAACAAAATGTCTGTGGAATACCTTCGCCATATAGACTAGGCATTCTGGATGAAGTCGACATACACCAGGCTCCAGTCTGTGTCAACTTTGAATAGAGATGAGAGCTAAGCCAACTTCATCTGAATTTAATTTTTAGCCTCTTTCTATTAGCCAAAGAATTTTCTTTTAGTCTATATCATCATGGCTCAAAGGACGAAATCATCCTTCTGCGACATAAAAATGTCCAAAATAGTCATGCAATCTTCGATTCCGGATACCAGTTGATATAAAAATAATTTTTTTTACTATGCTCAGTTGATTGCTAAGGACAATTCATATACCATTTTGTACGGTATTTCATTGCCTATTTTGGTGTACCAACTTGAATTTCTACTTTGGCTTCTCAAAAAAATCATATTTTCACAAACATTAATGAATGCATTTGACAGACTGTCTCAAAGATCATATAACAAATATTTATGAGATTTCTACGATTCGGCTAAATCAAGAAATATGCAGAAATATTTTCTCTACAAATTCCGTTTAAAAGTAACTAAAAATACTGTCAACAGATTTCGCTTAAAATTCACCCCGTTCTTTGGTTATAACAATACCCGATTTCATTATTTAGCTAGTTTTCCACCATTCTCGAATATTTTCTATTGAATCACAGTAAAAGTAATTAAGAAAAAAAATGATATTATATCTCGGAAAGAAAATACATATTGAAATTGTGGAATTTCTATTATTTATAAATTTTTGTATATCTTGTTCACATTTTTAAGAACAAATGATTAATTTAATATAGTCTCAGAAGAAGAAAAAAAATGCGTGCATATGAAGAACGAAAGAAGAAAAACATTTTACGGAACAAAATGAGAATCAAAATTTATGAGTGACGAATCGACAGGATACTATAGGAAATAAATATGTGTCAGTACTTCATTTCATTTTTGATAATCAGCAATAATTCGAAAAATAGCGGATTCTCCTTTACTTTCATCATACATATGAATATTATGCTGTTGTAGAAATACATTTGTTTGAAACTTTTCTACAATTTCAATTCTATCAGGAAGTGCACTAATTAAATTCGAATAATGTAAATTGAGTTTTATTCTTTTCAATTGTTCGATAATAGAGAATAACAAATTTGTCCATTGAGTAGAATCTAAACATTTTTTATCAGAAGTGGTTCCAACGAAATGCAAATATTGAAGATTGGAAGCCCTTTTAAATAATTGATTTGCAAAGCTAGCTGGAAAGCGACCTATTTCCATTTTTAATTTGGTTAAACATGACATTACTGGAATATCGAACATAACACCGTCGTAATCATAACTATAACTAATATCAATATTTAAATATCGAATTTTTGGTAACTGAAGTAGTAAAACACACAACGAATGACTATTCATTCTAATCGATAAATGTTCGATATTCGATGTGTTGCGTGTTGTTAATGGTAATTTTTGTAGATGTGTTAATGATTTAAAAATAAATGTTTTTAGTGTTGGTATTTTTAATATTGTTGTGATCAGTCCATTTGAATGTCTGCTATGATTACCAATGTATACATAGGATAATTGAGGAAATTGCTTCAGTATCGGAATCATGTTTTTAGAATACATTCGAAGGAGAGTCAAAGCTCTTAAGGATTGAAAATGTATCGATAGGGTGAAAGGATACGTGATAATAGAACTAAGTTTCAATGATGTAACTTGCTTTGGATAAGCAATCAGATGTGGTACGATAAATTCAGAAAAGTAATTAAATGAATCGCGTTTTGATAGATCAACATGTAGTGGTAGAGAATAATTGTCAATGATGTGCTTCATACTTGAAGTTAAATTATAGAACGAGAGATACAATTCGTTGACATTGAAATATTCAAATAATTCGTACACAATATCAGTACAGAGATCATCAAGCCTCGTTATTTTGGCAGTATCTGTGAAGAGGAAACAGAGTGATTATGTAATATCTATGCTAACTATGCTTTTCAAATGACATACTTTGTTGTTCTTGTCTGAATTGTTTTGGAGTTAATTTATTATCTGAATTTGATCCACATCGTTTGTGCATTTTATCCATCGTCTAATCCAGCAATGAGAAATTGTTGACTACAAAAACGCTTTTTCAATTTTTTATTGTTCTATCAGTCACAAAAAGGTTTTTTCCCGCTGCAATAGAACATGCGATTATAAGAACGGAAAGAAGAAAGACATCCATTTTCATTGGTTGACAGTAAAAACCAACCTTATGAATGTAGATACAATCTTTAAAGTAAGAAGTACATATGCACCTGTACACAAATTGTTTCGTTCCAAATTTGCTTGGAAAACTGACAAGTTTCAAATTGTGTTTAAACGATAAACGCATTTTTTTGAGGGAAAATAAAAAATGTTTAATTGTATTCGAAACTACAAAACGCAAAACAGCGTTTATTTCCAGAGTGATTTTCGAGCGATACAAAATACACATGCAACGTGGCAATAGGATGTGAGAAAACCATAATAAGTCATTCATTAGATGATAAGTTTCGATAAAATTCTTGAGGCTCAAAGTAGAAAATTTTTAGGTTATTACTTTTTCTTTAAATCCATTATTTATACTATCCCTTTTTTATATTACAGATGTGCGTATTTTTTATTATACATTTGTTGTGTGTTTCTAATTTTATGCGGTTCGTGTTTAGAAGGAAAATTTTTCTATAGTTTTATTTCCGGTCCATTGAATTATTTCTAAAAATCAATCATTTTTAAAAACAAACTGGGTACGATATTCAGAAGCTAGCCACATAGAGCTCTGTTGGACGAAAGTCGCTAAATTTTAACCATAAATTTAACTTTTCAGACTCATAAACCGGTTTTTAAGCAAAAAGAATGTGATATTTGGAATCGGCAAGCAAATTTGTGATATTGGTGAATCGGCAGCAAAAATTGAGTCGAACATCCCCAATATTGTCATCTATTTTTAGAAATCTGACTTGTTTAATTCTGTGCAACCGTAAGCTAGTTGAAGACGAAGTACAGTAATGGTACTATGTCGTCTAAGTGTCGAGGTTGTCTCACTAATCAGTTTTATTTGCAATTAAGAAGCTACGTCATGACATAGCAATTTATTATAGATCATTATTTGTATGTCAGTGTCACACTTATTCTTTTGAAATGGACTTCATAATGAGTTTGTTTTTAACAAAAAAAAAAGTATAAGCATTAAAATATCGTTCTTTTTTAACAATAAAGGTTACCACTTTTCTTAGCTTTTAATTATTTAGTAAAATTGAATTCACATGCAGATAGAAAATAGAAAACAAACTTAACTAGCATTGCTACAAAAGCGACGTAAATTAATACATATATGAATTTATGTATACAATACGTATAAAAAATAAAGGGTGAAAAAGCAAGGAAGTAAGTAAATACTTAGATAGGCGGTCTACGCTATAAACGCTGTTCTAAGTTAATGGCAAAACTGTGGATGATAAAACTACAGCATTAGAAAGACCGTTCCACTCCTTTACTGTTTTAACTAAAAACGCTTCCTTGAGAATAACTTCCTACGACGATCGAGAGGTTCTAATTGTATCTTACAGGCAATCCCACATATTATTCAAGATGCCACTCGTTGTACTTTATTTAGTGGTTCCAAATGTGTTTCGTATGAACTGTCAAAAACTGTTGAAGCATCCTCGGGTACTGGTCTTACACATCTAGTATACAGATGACGTTTTAATTTAAATGGTGCATAGTGAACGTACGATTGATGACACTTATCATTTTACGGCATCTGAGAGCAATGTGTCCTACGTGAAATGACCATTTCATTGTATGTGAAATTTATACTCCTAACAATTTCACTTCACTTACTCTGCCTAGTACTTCACCGTCAATAGTAATAATGTTAGGCGATTTATCGAATATTAACCAATTACACTTCTCACGATTAACCTCAGCTAAATTTGTTTTACACCAAACCTCTATTTTTTCAATTTCCTCTCTTGCCTGTCTTAAGTCTCTATCGTTCTCGATAGGTAAGACGACGAAAAGGTCCCTTAAATTTGACGAAAGTGTGATTTTCGATTACGACGTCCACTATCGTGGGTTCGAAAGGAAGAATCTATCCTAAATTAAGCAATAACTTGAATCTAATGTGTTTTCACGGAACAATCCATGAAAAACTGTTGTTGGTTTCAACAGAAACACCTAAATTAGACAAGAAAATCGACTAAAATACCTTAGTATTAATTAAGTAGTTCGAAAAGGACAACCAATATAAGAAGCTAATGCTTTAAAATTGTGTTCTTTTTATTGTTTTCTTCTTGCGAATAAAATCATATAGCATTCAAAGTAAATGTTTTCTTATCCAGCAGATTTTAATGGCATGTATGCTTTTGATTTTAATCTAATATACGGGTTGCAAAAACTTCAAACAGGTTGAATCTAACAGAGGTGGGAAAGTCCAATCATTTCTAAGTCCAAGTCTGCTGGAGCTTAAGTCCAAGCCAAGTCCAAGTCAAGTGCAAGTTCGAATCGAAGTTCTTCATATTTCTGCTATATACAGTACATCGTAATCATATATGACGGGTGAATAAAATTTATCCATATACTGATGCATGTTTCACAAAAAAACGATTAATAAATTAGGTATCAGATTATACTCAATCCGTCGTTGAATGTAAAACATTTTAACTCCTTGGACTTCTAACGAACTTAATAAAAATATCCCCAAGTCCAAGTACATTAAATAAACCTTCAAGTCCCGACTTAAATCCAAGTCCAAACTTGGACTTTCCCACCTCTGAAATCTAAGAGAGACTCAAAAAACCGAGGTTTAGGACTGAAGATCCAAGATGAAAAAAGACTTGAGGATGTCGTCGGATAAAAAATATCATAGACTATTTATAGTGAGAAAATATTTCGTTTTCATTACTTATACTCACGAGCATATAGTCGTACTCGTCCATCTCTGTCCGAAAAATTAACACAAATATTTTTTATCGAAACATACAAAACTCGGTTTCCTCTTTCATTTGACGCAAAAACGAAGGTTCTATACGCGGAAATGTGCTTTCTAGAGGCTTTGTAATAGCGGGCGCTTCTGCTGGAAAACGGTGAAACATGCGCTTTTTTACTGAAAAATAAAAAAAATGCGTATAACTTTTTTCCTAGACAGCTAGAGAGCTGCGGTTTTCACCATTGGAATCAGTGTACAAAACTACATCAGAAAACGTGTATCTCGCTTTCTGCACCATAGTCGATGTAATGATGGTAGTAATTATATGGATTGACCCAAATATAATTTATCATAAAAAGCAAATAATTTATGCGATTCTTATCATGTTCTACTGAAATATCCTTGGTGTCTGACAAACTGATATCAAACATTAATAAAAGGCTGAATGAAATCTGCGTCCAAGACGGTACAAAGTAAGACATCAATAACATATACATATTTAAACAACTAATATAAACAATTTACGATATAAATATATAGCTGTAAGTATTTCTATTTTTATAGTAAATACTATGGTAATATATCTATCATAAGTTTTGGTGAGTGTAAAAGAGCAACACAATGGATTTCAACGTCTATAGTTAGTTAAGGTATATAAAGCATCACTCTACAGAATAATGCATTAAAAAAGAAATTAACACGAACTACCCGTAGATACAGTAAGGCCTGTTTGATCACTTATCAAATCACAACATTACTATTATACCTGGTGAGATATTTTTTTTTAATATTTATCAATAGGTGACCCTGCTCAGTATCAATCAGTCAGTGGTAAACAAGTTTTTCATGTGTATGATGAATCAAAGTTCTCCGTCTGGAGAGATCTATTTAAAGTTAGTTAGAAAGTGTTCTAGAGCATAAGAAACATTAAACAAACGTTTGGTATAAGTATTAGGTGGTTAACTTTAAAAAGAACATGAGGCAGAATGAAGATAAAGGTTTTTTAATCTTTTATCATTTATGAGAGTTGGGCAACTTGATGAAGAACAAGAAAAATTATTACTATCCAGATGTATCAAAAAAGAATTAAATTATTTAGTAAGAGTTAAATAAAAAGAGTATTCAGGAGCTGTTTTCGGTAGTCCAACGTTTCCTTTGCATGTCTTTTGTGAGTGGTCCCATCAGTCAAGATATTCTAACTGGCTCAGTTTGTAGAGAATTCCAAGGGCTATCTAACTGTGTATAGCTAGAAACTTGTATCCCTTTTTGGCAAGATTTCTCACCAATGACCTTTCGACGTTCAATATCGTAGTGTATACTATATAAATCTATCTTGGAACATAAGCTGAATCTAAAAATGATGCATTTTGTTCAGAATTCAACACTCTGTAAAACTACATAGGACTTGGCCGGTAAATATGTGTTTTTCGAGAGAAAGACTCCGTCAAGACCCTCCTTAGGACGTCTTGTCCCTACAAAACCTTTTTTGTGTGTTGACCAGATGTATAATACTCCGTCTGACTCAATTTTGCTCGGAGATTACGAATATGGTATTAAAACTGGTTGACAAGTAAGTTAAATTAGGCCAGAAAAAAACAAGTCTAAGATCACAATATACCCTGTTCTGCTATACTTTTTTCCAGTAAAGTTTTTTTTCCCATAGACGTAGATAGATTTCAGACCTCTACATGAATGTGGCAGGTAGAGCTCATACTCGTACAGTTTTTGATAAAATCACAATTTGGTTCTGCATATCATTTGGATTTTACAGCTATTTTAATGCGCACATGCACTATGTGTATGATCGATTTTTTTCGTAAATGACCCATTTTTTCTAGAAGAACTAGGTTCTATTACCCATTATCAAACTAGTTTGTACAGTTTTCATTGCTCTACAAGAATATGGGTAAGACAACATCTCATTGTATTACATTACCGAATGTCGGTTTTTCCTCTTACATCAATACCGATTATAGACCTAAACATGGTAACACTCATATCTCGGTAACCAGAAGGTACTAACCCAATCTCAATACAGATTTAGATCCGCCGTGAGAAGCTCTACAAAATCTGATGTATAGCTTTCTGGTTCTACATACTTTCGAAATCCGACAGGATCCTTTTTTACAAAAGGCGGAACAGCACGAAAGGAAAACAGCCAAAATATTCCGTTGAAAAAGCGTCAGAGACAACTATGAGATATCTTGTGTTGCTCAGAATTCTTTGCTCTATAAAACTGTATGGTTTACAAAATATTGTGACTAAAAGCTAAATAGTTGGTTGTCTGACCTTCAGGTTTTCCAGTAACTCTGCTATCAAATTTTCTCATGAAATGGCTATATGCACCTCATCTGATAGAAAAAATCTTTGGGCTATTGAAGTCAGTATTCAGACTGGCTCCAGCATTTACTGAAAAATCAAACACAAATAAGTTGTTATGATTATTAAACACTTTACTGTACGTATAATACCCAAAAGCTTCTTTGATGACTAAACGCACATTTCTAGATATTCTAACTGTCTGAACCGTATTCGATTTTACCTGGAATCGAATAGTCATAGTTTCTTCCTCTATACGAAACCACTATTAGTCGAAAAAGTGAGTAGACCGATTGCTGACCTTGTTCGGATCCGACCTTTAGAATCGTAATCTGTTCAATTTTATTTGAAAAAGAAACACTCACACATTTCAAGTTAACTGAAACAAAAGAAGACCATAAGTTATATAAGATCAAACTATCACATAAAGAAACGATGAAGTATATAAAAGACTCTTTACTGTTATTTGTCCTAAAACCTATGACTGATATGGCGATGCAACAACATAAGTAGTACCAGCGGGTACACCATATGGGGAATGATAATAAGCGAGTCTTCGACGACGAATACACAAGCATGCAACAATTACAATAATAATAAATATAATCGAACCAATTATACTACCAGCGATGGTACCAGCTGACGAAAAACTTCTTGTTATTGTTACACAAGATCCTCCACCAATTGTACATGCCGCAGTAGCTTTGAACAGAGAAATATACAACTTTTAGATATAGAAGTGTACTTTAGTTTAATGGTTTAATCTACTTACAAGTGCAACACTTATAATCAGTATATGATGAATAATGTCTTGAATAACAACATGTACCTGTTAAAAAATTCAACGTAATGCAACCTTTTAAAGTTAGTTTTTCAACGGCTTTTATACCTGCACTAAAACCAACAGCTGACGTACAATAACCGTCACGACAACAATCTACACAGTCACTTCGAATTTGGTTAATTTGTAATAGAATTAAAAATAAAATTACTATACGTAACATTTTTATTGTTGAATAAGAAAAAGAAGTTACTGACTGTTCTATTAGTCTTATAATATATACTTTTTGTATTTACACGCATTTTTTATGTGCTGTTATATACAGAGATGATTAGAGACAAAAGTATTAGTCACAAATTACACAAGAAAGGTGTCAATAGTACTCATTGTTCTTCTTTCTTCTGCTTGAGCAACATTTATCGGAGAAAACAATACAGAAAAAATTAGCCTTATGCTAATGGGTACGATAACTATAAGTCTTACGGGGAAAGGTCCCCAAGTGTGCAATCGCTTTTTGCTTGAGCTCTAGTGCACAATAGGTAATCGACTGCGCTAAATCCGAATCTGACATCCGTTTGTGCTGCTAGGTCTCCAGAGATCGGGTTTCTCGGAAACCAGGTTTTCAGAAACTCTAAAAACTAACCAAAACCTTTCTTAATGAGGCATGATCGTAGACCGTAAATTTCTGATTAAAATGAGACATCTCCCGGCTCTCGCCTAGCAACTGAGAATATCCCCTCTGATTTGATCTCACAATCCACCAGCTGAAAATAAATAATTGAGGTCATTCTGTAATTTACTTGGTGTTATATTCTATATTTCTCATCAAACATGATCACCTTCAAACAATCGGTTAACTGATGAGTAATAAGTATACGCTAGAAGATACTACAGTAACGGAGAGACTATCGTCAAATCGCCCGATCCTTTCATTTAGTACAGAGTGGAAAAAATGTATAGGCATCCAACACATAACCACTGAAACATCGGAGAACGGATCTAGAAATGTATAATAAGTGCTGCGTGCTACTCGGATAATTTCACCCTGCTTATTGTCTTCATCTACGCAGTAGAAATGTTCGACGCAAATAGCGATTGAAATGCTTCATTTCTCGGGAACACAGCACTTCAATGAATGTAAATTATTCTGGTAGTAGTTCTTCTGTCTAACGAGGAAAGGTCCCCAAGTGTACAATCGCTTTTTGCTTGAACTGCAGTGAACAATAGGTAATCGACTGCGCTAAATCCGAATCTGACATCCGTCTGACTGTGTCTCCAGAGACCGGGATTCTCGAAAATCAGGTTTCAGCTCTAAAAAATAACCAAAACCTTTCTTAATGAGGCATGATTGTAGACCGTAAATTTCTGCTTAAAATGAGATATCTTCCAGCTCTACATGACCTTTTTTGCAAAGTTATAGAATTTACATGAAAAGCCCTAAATGTTCATTGTCAGCTCAAAGCTGCAGAAATAAGAAGAAATTACTTTGGAAGTGGTTACAGCGGTTAAAGTTGTACCCATCAAATGTTTATTCATGCTCGGAAAAGCTAAACTAGAGCAAACTCGATTATTTATCGAGTACCTCATACAGCTTTTCTAAAGAAAAACATCCATTATCTAAAGTTTCAATAGAGCCCTAAAGTTCAAGATAAGATTGAAAATAACTGAAGTTGGAAGATCGTAAGTTATCCGTGAAGTCATAATGAACACGTTTCATTCAATTTTCTCTAGGATAGTAACTGCTAGTCCTGGCCGAGATTTTTCCGATATCAAACACAACGAGCGAGTAATATTCATGCTAACAGCTGCCTTCGAGAGGAACTTATGCAACAGATAGCTGCAAGAAAATCAAAAACTGTGAGAAAATCAGTAACTGTGAGATTACTTTTTGTGAGTAAAGCTTGACTTATTTTTAATAGATGAATTTCGTTTTGTTTCCCTTAGCGTGGCAATGTCAGAAAAGTAATTATTATGCTGGATGGAGGTCTCTGTAAAGTTTCAACACGTCGGTTGAGTTCTATTCCGTATTTGACGTTTGGTTTGAAGTTCCTTTGGAAGATCTTTCTGCCTTCTTATTCCAAGTGGCTGTGCAGTTTTAGTGATTTGAGATGGGTCGTATCATTACGTTGATCATGATTATGAGATTCAGATTTAAATACTGTAAAGGACGAGGGCCGATAAGCCGATCATCCCGACCAAACCAAATCACAATAAAACTTACATATTTGGAATCAGCATCGAATTCTGAGTATTTCTGCTGATTTACTTTTTCGAAAATGTCACTTTGA